AGCTTTAATGCACATAAAAACAGCTGCTTGTTTAAGTGAAATAAATGGATGTTTTTTTGCACTAGTAAAGTTGTGGAGTTGTATTTTGTCTCGCATCAATTATATCATCAGTTATATCGTTATCGCAAATTTTCAAATATAAATAGTGATAAATATTTCGGGCATATCGCCCTGCTCTAACCAGAATCAATAAACTGTACTCTGTGAATTAAATGATGCACACACAGTAATGAACACCCTTTAACTGTGGTATTACCATTGATGTTTCTTAGTTTTCCAACCAATAGATGCACAAAATTCACAGCCAAATATTTAAGTGTTTTTAAGTGTATTTTTAAATACTTTAATACCAGCATCTGGTTCATCGGGCGGGTTCGCCTGAAAAACCTGAGAAATACCACTATAATGTTACTGATATCAGTGTTGTCTCATTTTAAATTGAAATGCTAATGCTACAAAAATACTTCCAACATTGCTCCTACACATTTACAGTTGTTCAGTAAACGGAGACTAAAATGACATATTTAAGTTTTGTTTTAAACGTGTGATTGATTTCTTATGTAACGCTGAACAGTAAAGCAGAGAATAGAGCAGTAATGATTACTTATGTGGAGATTTAAACCCATTGTGCAGTTGTTGTAGTGTTGAAGGAACTCAGTCTTCAGTTTGGGTCTTTAAAAGCATTAAATTAGAATTTCAAAGGGTGTTCAGAGATGCAGTGAAGGGTGACTGACACGATAAAGGTCTCTAGCTCGATGCCACGGTGATGTTTTAGGCAAATTAAGGTGCTGCTTCCCCCTCTCTGCTGTCATATTTTCAGACGGGTAGTGTTTCTTCTGACTGTAGCGGCAGGCTGTCGAGCGCCACGCCACACATAATTATACATAATGTTTATAAGCGCTTTCAGGTCAGGGGGCAGGATGGTGGGAATCTGTCTCCACCTCGGCACAGAGCGGGCGTGTTGTTAAACGGGGATCCGGCGGCCGGCGTTCAGAGGCCTGGTTAAGGTGGCGACTCTTCTTGGGGCTGCAGCTGACGCTCAGAGGATGAGCGCCACATTAACCCCATTACAGAAGGCCGTTTGGTTTGTCAATAAGCACGGCTCAGTGTGCAGCCTCAGATTACATCCACCGCTCTGGTGATTCGACCTCTCTTTGGATTTTTGTGGATTTATTTAAATCGGTGTTGATTTGAGTCGGAGCGTAACAGCGAAGTCGTACACGCTGATCTCCACACACAGCAGCCAAAACACGTGCCGGGCATTTCATTAAATGCATGTCATGATGCTGCTCCTCCCTCAGACCCATTTTCATGGCAGAATGTAGATTTGAATCACTGAGGAGTTCCTTTCATTTTCTTATTTCTGCTCGAGCTGGAATTTGTCGGTTCTTGCAGCTGTAAAGCTTAAAGCTTTGAGTAGAGTTGGAAAATTTGATGGAGAAATTTGTGCCAAGAAGCTAAAACATCTGCATTTCATTCTGTCTGCATTAAGACATGGTAACGGCTTCCCTCATGACCTGTTTATCAATTATTTAAATGGGAAGGAAGAATTCGGTCCAAACTGAGCTTGAGCACTAAGGTTATACCTTCATACAAATATTAATGTGTGTTTGAAATGATTAATCGCATCCTTTAATCATCAGATTGTTTTCTGGTTGTTGACTAAATGTGAGGCCCATCAGAGGCGCGTATTCAGAGCTGTTGTTAGAAGGCAGTGCGTTAGATAAACATCACACTCCTCTCTGCTGAAGCTGCAGCTCCATGACTGTGACCTACTTCGTTGGCGACGCGCACGCGTGCGGAGTTTCTCCGTTACAGTTAATAATGCACACTGATGCAGCAACTTAAGGCTAAGGGGAGTGGCAGTTATGTGTAAAGTAAAAAAAACTTTACAAACGTGCTACAAGCGTGAGCCCCGCCTCTCGGGCAGAGGAACCGTCCTCTCCAAACCAGCAACACAAAGGGAACGACCACGGTGGCCGAGGCAACGCAAATGGATGTTAGGAGCCTCAGACACCTCCGAGAAATGAAACGAAGAAGAAGAACAGACGTAAACAAACGTGTCGTGTGACGCAGCAGCGCACATTGTTAATTATGGACACTGAGAGTGTGGATACATGAAGATCGAGTCTGGAGGATTCGGTCGCATTTCTCTTTACTTATCAGGCCCTGTGTTGTTACAGTACTCAGAACTATACGTAACACTCTGTACTCGTTCTAATGCCACAGGGTTCAAAAT